AGCAGACGAAAACGTCATCAGCTGTTCGTTCAGCTGCCTGGGTGCGACTGTTGCCAGACTTGACTCGGGGTTTTCGCCAGCCCTACTGGCTCAAGGCTTACGGAAACTACGATACCACTCTTAACGCATGCATTTTGCCGTAATGTCAATTTATAAAAAAAAGAAGACGTAAGAAAAGCGTTCATTTATTGTACAGAAATGGGCATTTCTTAACCACAATTACAAATACTCTCATTATCAGGTGCTTTTCTCGGCCCATGCAGTTCACTCGAGTGAAGGGAGCATTTCCGAGGCCTCCCTTGGCGAAGAAAGTGTGGAGAAGCGTTCATGAAATGCAGTGGCTCCTTGAGTGGAGGAGCACACTTCGCCTTGACTTGGTCAAGTCGAGGGGAGGCCTTGAGTGAAGGAGCGTTTGTGAATGCGGGGGTGACTGCAGTTCCAACCTCTCTAGCTAGAAATGTTTGCCTGGCTGATGTAATCCAAATATCAGGAGGGAGCTCTCTGCAAGACATGTTCGCTTTTGAAAAACAAGAATGAGACAAGGGGAATCATCAAGTGGTTGGTGCTTTGGTTCTCTTTTCGCTTGCATGTTAGAAGAACGCGCTTGAAAATTTAAGAAGCCACAACGAGTGTGACTACCACAAGACTGCTACTCTACATGCGTGTCAATCTTCGTGTCAAATGAAAAAAGATAACACTATTAAAATACATCATGTTTCTTTTTGCTGTGTGAAACGTTGAATGCACAGAGTTTATTTCATTTCTTGTGTATATTGTTCTTATTTTACATGATCTCATGTCCACCCGTGTTTCTTCATTCTGTGTATTTCTTGTGCTTTATGTCACTAATTGCACAAATTACAGGGTGTGCCATTCTACAGTCAAATCAATGTAAAGGGATAAAAAGATGAGGCGAATCAATACACACACACACGTGTGCATGCGTGTGTATATATATAAGCCCTTAAGTATACACTTCTTTAGATATATATATATATATATATATATATATATATATATATAAGGGAAAGAAATGTATACTTAAAGGCTTGTTTATTCTGTGGTTTGATGCAATATTAATGAGATCTAACAGACAATAATGCCAAGGAAAGTATAGGGAAAGTTATTTGACCCAAATTAATGTAAGTGTGAACAAAGAAAAGTGGGTGAAAAGATAACTTGCCATGAGCATGAACCGAACCTGCGACCTTCGAATAACGCGTTCAATGCTCTACTACTTAGCTACCACGGCGGCTATACCCCCAGCCACTTCATGGGATTTTTATGTGGATTTAAACGTATGTCAGTCAGCGCCATCTGTAACCATGGCGGCGAGTGTGGCACACTCTTTATGAGCCTGTTTGGCGACACGTAGCACGTGAACTTATTAGGAGCTGGCACTTGACCGATAGTCCCTCGTATACAACCTAACGGCACCAAGTCTGCCAGTACGAGACCCTCGTTAGTGAATAAGGAAAAGAAGTGTATACTTAAGGGCTTATTTTCCTGTGTTTTGCCAATTTGTGCTGGACACTACCAGAGAATATGCACTAATGTGGCCCTATTACTACAATACTTGCACGAATTGGTCATATACAAGTCGGGGTAAATGTGTTCCAGAATTACGGGATTAGTGTAGGTGCCTGTTTGTAACTGCCACCATTGAACGGACTGGACCCGGTTGAGCTTGGGGTGAGGCAGGGAGTATTCCCGTCGTTAAAAAAGTGTATATTGTTGGATAATGTCGTTGAAATTGGTAAGCCTATCCCCCCCCCCCCCCTTCCCGCTTCTGCACAAGAGAGTCCGTACGGGTGGTGTCAACCACTGACGTTGCCCAGAACACGAGACCTCGAGCCACGTCGTGCGCCACCTCGTTAAGATTGACCTCCGTGTGGTCGACGGGTGGGTGGGCAGGAAACTAAAGGATGCATGCAATTTTGTCGCCAGAGCGGGTTTTTCTTGTTGTAAGGACTTTCAGCGCCACTGAAGAAATCCTATCGTTTGCGAAATTTCGGACTGCTGTTTGTAAATCACTGATAATATACTGGGCATCGGTGTGAGCTATGGCGAGCACGATAGCGACCTCCTCTGCTGTATCCACTTGATTTGTATTGATTGAAGCACTGGTTATGCATTTGCGCGTATGGTCTACAACCGCAGAAACAAACCGGCGATAGTTTCGATAGCGCGCTGCATCAACGAAGACCGCCTCCTTAATGCTCCCATAAGTTCAGAGCATAATTTTGGCTCTACTGATTCTTGTACCTTTGTTGTGATCAGGGTGCATGTTCTTTGGCAATGGTGGTACCGCCTCCTTATTGCTCCCATAAGTTCGGAGCATAATTTTGGCTCTACTGATTCTTCTACCTTTGTTGTGATCAGGGTGCATGTTCTTTGGCAATGGTGGTATCATGAGTTTAGTGCGGATTTCGTGTGGTATGTCGAATTTCATACCATGCTGTACATGGTAAGAAATGCCGAGACTGTCGAGAATTTGGCGACCTGCTTACGTATTGCTCAACCGTTCATACTGAGAGATCTGTTGCGCTTCAATTATTCCTTCGACTGTGTTATAAAGGCCAAGTTTAAAAAGGAGTTCTGTGCTGGTACTGTGCCGAAGCCCTGGCGCCTGTTTGTAAACTCGTCTGATGAGTGCGTTGAGTTTAGCTCTTTCCGCCACGAATCATCGACGGTAGGCAGCGATTAAAGAACCCCATGTGGTGGAAATTTCCGGACCCCTTCACTACAGCGTCTCTCATAATTATATGGTGTTTTGGGGAAGTTGACTCCCACATATCAATCAATCAATCAATCAATCAGGTTTGTGACCTTCATACTTTTATTTATCAGCTTATATTATGCAATCAGTATGTTACAGTCAAACCTCAATATATCGAACACGGATATATCGAATTATTGCCTATATCGAACGGTTCCTACATCACGTGGGAAATCGCATGCATTATTGATTTTTTATTTCGAACAAAGTTTGACATATAATGGATATATCGAACTAAACCACTCCAAACCGCCCGCGCTCCATTGACAGGCGGCGAGCTTTCCCGCAGCTCTCGAAAGTAGCGGTAGAGCGGCAGGTGTTTACGAATGCTGCACACATCGATGGTGCCGAGAGCGCCACTTTACCGTAGCGGCGTACGCGCGCCGCAGCCTTGCGGTAGAGGTTCTTGAATGAGGAAAGTGAAAAGCGCGGAGCTGTTATTTTCTTTCAATACGAAGGCACCGACATGGCTTCGTGCGGGGGAAGGGGGAGCGGGAGGTAAAGATTGAGGAGGAAAGTATAGGAGAGAAAGGACGCAGACGACTGTCTCGGACGCGGCCCGCGCTGCCGTCGGGAATGGGAAAGCAGTCAGGCGAGCCGGCATGGGCGCGCCATGTGCGCGCTTTACACCCGGACTCACGCCGCAACCTTGCAGCTTGCAGTCGTTGCAGTCTCTATGGTGTCAACGGCACACTGCGCACTTGTTGCAAGCTCCTCCCCCGTAGCATCGGCAGGCATCGGTCGTTGTGCTCGCAGCGTGCGTTCGGAGAGGCCTGTCGCGCGCTGTGGTGCGCAACAGCGCGCGACAGGCCTAACTCCGAACGGCGGAGCTCACGGATGTGGAGATAGTCGCCGAAGCTACTGCTGAGCAGCCAAATGAAGACTCTGCCGAGGTGGATCCCGCAAGCGCTAAAGGTGCCCCGCTCCCGACATCAGCTGAGGTCGTAGCTGCCTTGGCCCTTGTGCGTTTAAAAGTTCACAGAAATGTTATTCTCTAGCTTGAGTATATTTTAGCACACGTACGAAGAGTCACATTATAATAGGCTTGAACGTAGCCTATCAGACCTTGCAACTGTGCCTGGCTTTCACCATTAAAACGAATCTTTGCCTAGTGAAAATTATCGTAGTGATCGACTCTGGAAAGATTTGTTCCAGCGAGTACACTATGACCACCGCTTCAGCATCATTCCTGTCGCCGAGCCAACTTAAAACGCAGGCGGCCAGGATTCCAGTGCGAAATCGCACAGAGTGCCAAAGCCTCGACAAACACCGCAACACGTTTTCCTGTGTGCCGACATTATTCACTGTAAAAGCAGCCAGGAATGGCATTTTGTTAGTAGCACCACTTAGTTTCTAAATCATGTCAGCGCGAAACGACGAAAAAAAAAAAAAGTTGGGTAAATGGAGAAGGGGGAGGGGTGATTCGCGCGAAAAATTTCGATGGTGGTGGTTGAACCCCCAAAACCCCCTGGTGCACACCCTAGCATTGTAAAAGATGTAGAATGTAAAAGCAGCCAGTAATGGGATTTTGTTAGTAGCACCGCTTAGTTTCTAAATCATGTCAGCGCGAAACGACGAAAAAAAAAAAGTTGGGTAAATGGAGAAGGGGGAAGGGTGATTCGCGCGAAAAATTTCGATGGTGGTGGTAAACCCCCCAAGCCCCCTGGTGCACACCCTAGCATTGTACAAGATGTAGAATTAGTTGGCAGGATTTGATGCAACTTGGCAGTGATCAGTAGTTCTGTACCGTATTTGCACGGTAACAATGCAATGCCTCCTTATGTTAACTGGAGCGAGAAAAAAGAAACTAAAAAAAAAAGCCGTTCACCTCCCCAAAGGGAATCGTTAGGAAATGCGAATGCACTTCTTGTGCCGAAAGAGGGCGCCGTTGTCATCAGACATTCACCTTCACCGACTTCTGCCATCGCCTTGAGAGGTGCCCAGCCAGCGAACAGTCGCTGGAAAAAAAGGTGCGCCTATTATGTGAGTAAATACGGCACGCTGTAATGGAGAACTCTGACTTAATTTTTCTCTATGGCAGTTGTTTAATGCAATGTGAGCCTTTCCTTCCCACCGTTGCTAGGAAATGAACACAAATCCTCAAGTTTAGCAATGCTGCATTTTAGTCACTGAACCAGCATGGAGGTCCTTTAGAAGAGCACCACACAGCGTCTATTCAGTGAACTCCCCAACTACTTGTACATTAAAGGCACATCCTTACTTGCGATAGTAGTAGTCGAAGCACTCGTTGCAGAAATGTTCGCCCGACGAGAGGTGGTACCATCGGGAAGTGTAGCCATCACCACAGCACCTGCACATGATGCGAGTTCGCTCTGTTCTGGAATGCCACATGTTGACAAGGATTCATTTCCTTTCTTGGTATATTGTTATTAAAACCTTAACAATGCCTAAGCTATTTTGCAAGCACAAATACATGATCACGTCTCTTCTTTACCATGACTACTTCTTCACTTTCACCAGAATAGCAAATTATTGCGAGCAAGCATCACCACCTATGCCATAAAAAATTTTGACTAGGCATTGCAAGTTGTAAGTGCTCTCTAAGGAGAATTTAAATAAAAGGGTGATTAAAAAATGTTCATTGGACAAGCTGGAGGAAAGTGAACTGTGTCGTTATCATGATGCCAGGAGGGCAGACACTGTCCTTTTGAGCAGCATCGAATGGCCTGCATTGACACACATTCAGTGATGACATACAGTGGACAGTCGAAACCCGTGATAACAAAATCCCGAGCCAATGAAATTCTCACCGAAACATATATTTTCGGAACACCAGTGAACACCCACAGCAGTCGATGCATTTCGTAACTCATGACTACGAAACATATTTTTACCGCAGTCTCTAATTAACAAAATTTTTTAAATGGAAGTGTGCAAATAATCTACTCTAGCAATATTAACTGCATTGAAACAATGCTTAAATGCATTCGTGATAAACTTAAGTTATGCGAAACTATTGCCACAATGCACTTCATCAGACGCCACCATCACACTGCACGCATTAAATTAGCACTCCGAACTCCACTGATTGATTGATACATAAGTTTTAATGTCCCAAAACCACCATATGATTATGGGAGACGCTGCAGTGGAAAGCTCTAGAAATTTAAACCACTTGGGATTCTTTAATGTGTACCCAAGTCTGAGCACACGAGCCTACTGCATTTTCGCCATCGCAAATGCAGCCTCTGCAGCTGCAATTCGCAAAAGCTTTTGACTCAAAAATGAGCGGACCGTAAAGCGTTGCCTAAAGGCAATGCTTTAGGGTCCCCTAATTTTTGAGTCACCCCACTGAGCAAACAATAATGACATCCATTGATAAAGTCCATATTAGCATTTGCTGAGCTTGTCAAATCATTTGACAGACTCTGCAAATTTGAATATGGACCTGCCAAGCTCCCGACCTTGAAATTCCAGGATGTGAAGAACCGAGGAGTAGGGTTGGCGAGAAAAATAAATGGCGCACAATCAGTTTTTGTTTTTGTTTTACGGAACGAGAAATGTCATACACTACTGCAAATGATTTCCAGTAGCTTATTCAAACGTCAGTAATTATAGTGGTACTCAGAATTATGCGCTGTACAAACGCATGAATAACTGAATGAAATTAGTCAGTGCCCCGTGACTTGCACTGTCCCCACCTTTCAAATCTCAATAGTGTTAAGTGCCAACCACTGGCACGCGTATGCTCGCGTCTACGCGTCAAATGCGCCTCTTGGCGTCAGCGTCTGAAAGGCATACGCGAGGAGGCACGAGGGATCAAGCCGGGCTTGATATTTTTGCCAGCGTACGCTACGCCACCACGCGTACAGCGGCGCCAACCAACCAGAGGCCGCCATGCCTCGGAACGTTATTTCTAATGGCCACTGCTTCGAAGGCACAGCCGAGTGCTGGATGCAAGCACGGAAACTGCTCCAAACGTTCCTGAATGACCGCTTCGTAATCTAGAACGACAACGACACGACGAACGACTGCGAGTGCTACCAGCGTGACGGGGTTTCGTGCCGAGTTCTAGCGACGCCGACAAATCCAGCAAATGCCGGCCAGCTATGCTAGCGCCGGTCCCGAGTGCGATCGTCGGCCGAGTGAAAGCATGCCGGTTTTCTTGTGTTTTGATCTGTGACTTTATGTGCTAAAAACGAGTGTAAACAGACTTCGAAGGTTCGAAGGTTTGAGCGTGAGCCCTCGCCTACCGTGGAGGCAATTCGGAGTGGTGTCATTTGCATCCAGAGCAGGCCTCTACCGCCTAGTTTGTATGAACCAGCACATGCGAGGAACATCGGCTGAAAAAACTCTACGGTAGTTTCCGTCGCAACATAGACACCATACACGACGCCCAAAACATCGCGTAGTTCATACGGAGGAGTTTTTATCTGCACTGTATTTGTTTTCAACATCGGTATTCATCATCGCCGAAAGCGAACCTTGCACTAGCCAACACATTTCGATGATGTGAAAACGTACGTACTAATAGAAGTGTATTCGCGGATTGTGCGACGCTGTAACATTCGTTGGCTTCGGTGTAAATCGTTTTTGTGTGTTGCCAAGCTAATAACAAGCGTGCGCTGGTTGGTAAGTGTGAGGTGACTTCGTGTCGGGTACCACCAACGCTGAAACATTCAGCTGTCAGCGGTCTCATTTCCATTCACATACAAGACAGAAACTCGAGCGTGCATTGCTGTGGTGATCGAAAAAGAAAGTTGCATGATTAAGTGCTGCTGGTATTGTCTGCTATTTCACTTTTCGCTTCTTCTGCTTCTCTCCCACGGTCAGTAGCGCATACGTTGTTTGGAGGCATTCTAACACACACATTCTTAACTTATAGTTCATTGTGATACTCATAGCTATACGCATACAATGGCGCTTCTCCGTCCTTTTACAGTTTACTATAATATAACGCGCGTTTTGTTTACAACTGGACAGATAACTGAAAACCTTGTGAGAAGCACCTGATTTGAAATCAGCTGCACACGATGACACGATAGTTGGAAGAGAAGATCACCACATGTATGCACAGAATGAATGAAGGTGCACTAGTACTGTACAGCACTTTGTATAGAAGAAATGCAAAAAGTACCTGATGTGACTTACGAGACCTTTCAGAACTGTGCATGTATCTATCTTTTCCTCCAAACTGTAATGAGCTGAAGATATTATTGAATGGTTTTGAACATTGAATATTTGTATGTGTTTCCAAGGAGTGCTTCATTTCTGTTCAGTTTTTTTAATATATGCATTAACTTGGATTATATATGCGTGCACTTAAGCATGTACAGCTTAGCTCTGTTGGAAAACTTGCCAGAATTTCTGTACGGTGCTCTGGTGCAATCCTATGATCGGCACCTGTCCCATCAAAAATTTTGGGCATGCTTTATTGCATTATAGGGTATTTTGACAATTGATGACCTGTGAAAGCCACAGTGCTTGGCTGTAATCTCAAAACCAATGTCTGCCTCATCAAGAAGTGTCAGATGCATTTTGTAGATATTAAAGGATATTTAAACTACCAGCAAAGTGTTGAAGCCTTCAACACAGCACTGATCCGCAATCACCATCCAGCTTAGAAGTCATTTGTAGTGCTCTCTAACACGTTTAAATAAGGTTATCAAACACTGACATCGCTACACCGACTTCAGCTGTTACAAGCACGAAGCTTACGCATATGTCTGGGGGTTCCCCAGGCAACATCAAGTTCTTTGACACTGGCAGAGGCAAGAGAACCCAACTTTAAAGTAATTAGAAATGTGGAGACATGTCGGCACCTCTCTCGTCTAGTCACGCAACACCCTTCCCATCTGCTCATATCCAACATCGTGAACCGTGCTGGAGCGCAAATACACCATGTGTACCAACAGTACATTTCCCGGCTTCCTGTGTCGACACATTGGCCACTGGACCAAAACTACCCTCCATGGCTGCTTGAGCTACCAACTATTGAAACGTCAATAGAAGGACTTCGAAGCAAACATGAAGTGCCAATTGTTGCCGCTCAGCAGTTGGCATCACATCATCTGTTTGACAGGTACCAAGGATATACTCACGTGTACACTGACGGCTCTGTCACCAAAAGAGACAGCGACATCAGCATTCATAATTCCGGAATTGCACGAAGAATATGCATGTCGGTTGGGCCACCTCTCTTCTTCAACAACGTCGGAGCTCGTAGCGATTTTGCTAGCCATAAGCTTTATTAAACTGTCGACACCAAGAAAATTGGTGGTAATTACAGACTCTGCGGCAGCGCTAGCATGTGTGGAAAGTGCGACTTCAAGAAACATTGATGTGTGTATAGTATACGCTATACTATAAGAGCTCTCAGAAGCTACGAAGTGGAATCATCGAGTGGCATTTCAGTGGGTCCCCAGTCACTGCAGAATTAAGGGGAATGAAATGACGGATGAGTTGGCGAAAACCGCTCATAATTCTACGCAAACGTGCCTCATTCCAGTATCTCAATATGATGCAAATAGAATTTTAAGAACAACAAAACGTAAATTATGCCTGTCTACCTGGTTCACAGAAAAAACAAAGGAATCGATCCTATATTCTGTTGATCCTAATCTTGAACGCCAATTAGACAGTGACCTCCCCAGACGTATCAACACACTCATTTGCCTACGACTCGGAACTGCTTACACCAAGCACTTCCTACTTCGTATTCATCGTGCAACATCATCAGCATGTTCATGCGGCCACGACAACCAGCATATCTGTCACCTCTTGCTCGACTGTCCGAAACACGACACACACCGAAGGCTACTAGAGCAAGAACTGCATAGGTTAGATCCTGAGCGACCATTCGGGTTGAATAAAATACTAGGTCTATGGCCATTCAAAACAAACGGCAAAGCAATGAAGGTGCTGCAACAGTTCTTCGAAGAAACGAAGATTTGTGACGAATACTGAGCGGCCAAAAGTTAAAAGTGAGCGTGTCGTCTACGTGTTTGTTCTGCCCATATAGGAGAACTTTTGCTCTAACCCATGTAGGACTGTATATATGTTAGTTTTTTTTCATAACTTTATTTGTACCAATTAGGTGGAAAGGGGTAGCCGTCGCCAAGTAACGGTGACAAAAACTCCTTCGTTTATTTTCTATTTCAATAAAAAAAAAAACTGGATTGATCTACTTGGTTTGATTCCTAATACCAGTGTGTCTGGCTTTTTGGAGGCACTTGTATTAAAATAATGTTCTATTTCTCTGATTTCTTACCGGGGTGCACTCAAGGATATTGATATTTGTTTACATTGGCCTATTTAAATCTGTAGTTTTTATTTACTATTTAAATCCTT